GTACCTTGTACACAGGACTAACTACACTTTTGGCTCCCTGAAGAGCCTTTAATGTCTATATGTTACTTTGTACACAGGATTAACTACACTGTTTGCTCTAGCAAACAAGCTCAAGGTACCCACACAACAAGAAATGTGTTAGTAAACATTGTTTATCTATATACAGATGTCACTGTATGTTTTCAATATGGATTAAAACAGTTTAACTAATTTTACCACACTGGTGTTATGAGTGTTTATACACTCTAAGATCAAAACTTTCTCTTTTTGTGTTAGTACCAGAAAAATAAAAATATCTATATAAAACCTTCAGTAACATCTTTATTAAAACTGTTACAAAGAGGAGTTAAGCACGAGGTCCACCACGGAAGGGAAGTAAACTGGCTACCTGCAGGCCTGGGATCTTGTCCATATCCTGAAATAGACCAAATTTTCATTCTTTTAACTCATCTCGTGGCTTAGAACACAGTAAAGTGTGAAAACAATTAAGACAAAAACATTAATTTCTTACAACACTCATGTTTTATGGAAAGTTAAGCTTAATTAAATGTCACTTTTGGGTTAGTCTGGTTAGAACCTGTACAAAAAAAAGTAATGCTGAAAAGATATTGTCCACCCAAATATATAACAAGGTAAGTTATTAAGCCTATTATCTGGTGTACTTTACTCTCAGGAAATTTCTAGAGCCCCAGAATTTTTTTTCTATTCTTTCTTTTACAGTACAAAACCACTAGTCAATGTCTAACTAGTTCAAATTATTATTTTTTTGACACTTACAACAAAAGAAGATATCTGACTTTGATATATTACTAACCAACATATTTATAAAGATTATGACCTGTTTATTAATTTTGTTTATATTACTTATGACCATAACAATTTTTATCAAGACAATTTACCATTTGTTTCAACATCTCTGTGGTATCAGGGTCCACTTCAATAACATCCAAGTCAATGGCCGAAACCTGTGACAAAACAGAATCATAATACTTAGCATTTAACACTTCTTGTCAGATACAAAAAGAATAGAAAACTTTTCTGGTTATTTAATAAGAAAATAAAAAGTTCAAATACGTTAACTTGTACCATATTTGTGATCAATAAAAACTAAAATATTTATGAGAACTTATAAAAAGATTATTTACAAAAGTGATGCATAATAAAGGTTTGATAATAACAACTTTAAATTAAATTCTCATCAGAAACTGGGCTTCAATGTTATATAATACTGACGTGCTTTACTACAATTTTAATCTCGAGAACCAACACAATTTGAAAAATATTCTTTATGGTTATTCACAATATACATAAAGATTATTCATCGATTTAGTTATTATTTAAATTATATTTGTTTCATTTCATTCATTATATGCAAACAACATTTAGGAAGATTTCAGTTTTCATATTATTTAAGTAATACATGGCATAAAGGCTTCATCATCACCAGATATAGTACGGTTGACTAAACCAGCACCGGATATAGTACGGTTGACTAAACCGGCAACAGATATAGTACGGTTAACTAAACCAGCAACAGATATAGTACGGTTGACTAAACCAGCACCAGATATAGTACGGTTGACTAAACCAGCACCAGATATAGTACGGTTGACTAAACCAGCACCAGATATAGTACGGTTGACTAAACCAGCACCAGATATAGTACGGTTGACTAAACCAGCACCTGATATAGTACGGTTGACTAAACCAGCACCAGATACAGTACGGTTGACATATTGTAACACACTTTTCTTTGCTTTCACTCCTAAGTTCTTTGAATATTTAGATTGATTTTACTCTTAACATTACTCATTTAAGTTTTAATCCTTCAACCATACTGAAAATTAATTTTCATGTAAAATTTATATTTTTGAAGCTAAAAAGTTAAAATATTTTAACCATGTCCAAAAAATAGTCTGGATGAAAAATCTGGATTCAAGGTTAGTGTGAACAACAATCAATTCCAATGTTTATCACGAACAACTTTTCAGAATTTCAGTTATACATTTCACAAACACTATTTATAATACAAAGTTGAAACAATTATGTTTTACCAACATACAAAGTGTCTATCATCTGTTGCAGACAAAGATATTTCATTACTTATGGCATGACAAACACCAAATTCATCATGTGAACTTACATCTGGTACATAGTTGTCTCTACGCTCTCTCTCTTCTTCTTGAAGTTTGATAGAGATACCACGGACAGGTCCTCTCTGTATTCTCTTCATCAAGTGAGTGACAAACCTGTTCATTAAGTGTAGTAATGTTTTTAATCAAACCAATATTTGAGGCACAATAATTTATTTTGAATTTGAATATCATCTAAAGCCTTAAAGAAAAAAGATTATTGACATGAATAATGTTTAGATAATTGTTTATAATTACAGAATCTATCGCCATGCACACTAAAAAGTACCAATTTAAGACCACTGTTTACTTTTCAGGAAAATCAGTTCTAGCATCCACTACTACTTTATCTGCATGCTGTTTACAACACAGCTCTAGCATCCACTACTACTTTATCTGCATGCTGTTTACAACACAGTTCTAGCATCCACTACTACTTTATCTGCATGCTGTTTACAACATAGTTCTAACATCCACTACTACTTTATCTGCATGCTGTTTACAACACAGTTCTAGCATCCACTACTACTTTATCTGCATGCTGTTTACAACACAGTTCTAGCATCCACTACTACTTTATCTGCATGCTGTTTACAACACAGTTCTAGCATCCACTACTACTTTATCTGCATGTTGTTTACAACACAGTTCTAGCATCCACTACTACTTTATCTGCATGCTGTTTACAACACAGCTCTAGCATCCACTACTACTTTATCTGCATGCTGTTTACAACACAGTTCTAGCATCCACTACTACTTTATCTGCATGCTGTTTACAACACAGTTCTAGCATCCACTACTACTATATCTGCATGCTGTTTACAACACAGTTCTAACATAAACAGTGAGACATTTTCAGTACAATTTTCTCAAGATGGAATTTGCCAGTAGGCAACGGGAAAAACTGTAATTTAGTAGTAATTTACAAGTTTCCTTCAAACATTAAGTATAATCTAATACTTTCTTGCAAGGGTATAATATGTAAGAACATTTTTTGCACAAAAATAAAAGTATAAAATGTTCCATTATGAAGAATAATTAGTAAATAGCATTAATTTCTAAGTTTTGTAGAGGAATTTTAATCCTGTAACTATTAGGCATATAAAATTCAAGATGGAAAGAAAACACCCTACCCAGCAATCTTGTTTCGCAACTTTTTACTGGGTATTATAGCTATCTCTTCACATATCCTTTTATTTGTGTGGAAGTCCAAAGTAAGACGTGTGTAATACTTTTCAATTATTACACGGGATGCCTTTTTAACTGTCTTGGTTCGGACTCGACCCTGAAACAAAAATAAGTAGCTGTACTGTAAATTAAAGTGATAAATAAATAAGTTACGGGGTATCAAGGTACCTTTTACACACATAAATTACAGGGTATCAAGGTACCTTTCCCACACACATAAATTAGAGGGCATCAAGGTACCTTTTACACACATAAATTACAGGGTATCAAGGTACCTTTCACACACATAAATTACAGGGTATCAAGGTACCTTTCACACACATAAATTACAGGGTATCAAGATACCTTTTACACACACATAAATTACAAGGTATCAAGGTACCTTTTCAACCCACCAAATATTCCTTTCCTATACTCCTGTAAAGATACAGCCTCTACCACTCCAGCTTTACCATCACATTGTTACTAAGTAAATATGTAACATAGTTATGAAACTTTAAACTACTTATATCTGTCCTAAAACTAGAAATCCATTTGGGTTTAATGGGATTGAAAGCAGGCTCATTTAACATGCACTTATTAAAAAAAATAATTCATTATGACACAATTGAAAAATACACAGTAACCACTGAATAATTTGTCATTCTCATTGCACTGAGTACCCAACAGTTCAAAACACTGTCGACTTTTCCTTCATAATAAATCATATATTAAAAAAAAGCAATACTTTCATGTGGTGATTCTGTTGTCTGAAAATTGATTATGGCTTTTAACAATAAGATGATCAGCTCAATGATGAAAGTTGAGTTGCTCAAAATATCCCTTTGAAAAGAAAGATATTAATAAGATTTTAATTTGCCTCGAGTGTATAAGTCATGGGATATCAAGGGTGCTCTGATCCCCAACAAACAGGAAAGTAATCACTAAATCCAGTTATGAAATTCTAAAATAACAACAGTTCAGTACTGGCCTTATGTAACTTTTTTTTTTAATAAAAGAATTAAACCCATCTTTTTTTTTCAAGTAAATATCAATTCCTTTCTTAAGCTTCTGTAAGATGGTCATTCTATATTCTAAGTTGATAATCACATTGTTTGAAAAAAAAAGATTAACTGTAGCCTAACTGGTCTTTTTCCCAATCCTAAACTTATGTCCTTTCACTTTCATAATACAGATAAAAAAAAAAGATACCTTTATCCTATTGAACTCCCCCACTCCAGGTAATATTGCAAACTTCGATAAGACTGTCTTTTACCTACTCATTGTCTACTGATATATTAAAAAACATACATATATTTTTAACCTATTTTAAAACTCCTTGCTTTGGTTATTTACATATCTCAGTATTGTTAATTCCACTTATAGGATTAATACTTACCAAACAATTTTTTGTCAGAAATATCACTAACATTCTCTCTTGTAAGTCGTAAAAACGTAAGAAAAAATATTTAAAAGGCTTAGTCATCTGAAAGTTTTCTATAATATAAAAAATAAAAGCTTGCCATCAATACTTAGTTTAAGAGTAAGATGTGACCTTATTAAATGTTTACCAAACAACAAGACTATCCATGGGATCAATAATACAGATTACAAGTTAACGGTCTCTGATTTCTTCAAGTTTAACACGTGTCCAGCCAGGATAAACTATATAATACAGTTGATCACTTTAGATATAACCTGGCTGGACAGGTGTTAAATTTACAGACTTGGAATTTAAAAAATATAATAAGCTAGTTTCTAGCCCAAATACCATGTCGTTACTAATTCAGTAATTTTACAATTTTAAACTTAGCGTTTATCAGCACAACGGTGTAATAATAATAAGGTACGTCTAGCTAAGCCTAGCTTGGTAATGGCATTTGGACTAGGCTCCAGTTAATGCTCTCTTACAGAATATACTGTTTGAAGTTCTCATTTGTGCTCATTCAAGCCTAAAAATACCCAAGATAAAATATATTGATCCAATAAATACACAAAGCAAAATAACTCGTTTATGATCCCTAAACTTATACCTACCATTTTTCTATTAGCACACTACTTAGAAAGCGTGATGCGAAGTGGATGACGGGAAATTGCTCTTAAAGAGGTCGCTTCACATACAATAGGCAAAGAAAAATATTTTTAGAAAGGTAACACATTCTAGTTTAAATAATTCAAAAAATATTTGTTTGTTGTAAATTAATAGACGTCAAGCAGAATACCTTCAAACTGACCGCTTTTTTAAAAAATACTCTATGTTCGTAAACTACAGACTTTGTTGATTTTATTGCTAATTGTTTTTTCAAAAACTTTTAAGGTTACAATGAAACTAAGCTAAAACAAAAGAGTTGTTGCAAAGCTACACAACAGGATATTTGCGCTCTGTCTACTGCATGAAATCTAACTGTGGATTATAGAGTTGTAAGGACGTAAACTAACAATTGACCTACCAGGGGACACACATGAGAGAAAGGAATGATGTTTTGACATGAATTTATAAAATTTATTTATTATACACTCTAAATTTAGGTCATGTTTTACAGAAAAGGGCCCGGCATGGCCAGGTGGTTAGGGCACTCGACTCGCAATCTGCGGGTTCGAATCCCCGTCACACCAAACATGCTCGCCCTTTCAGCCGTGGGGGAGTTATAATGTGACGGACAATCCCACTATTCGTTGGTAA